CAGCTCGCGTCAAAGGCATCTAAAATTTCAAGTTCGGATATATTCTAACGGAAATAGTCAATGGATTAACAAGTAACTATACGTATTTTTTTTTTCCTCTCCTTTATTTTTATACCTTTAAATACTCGCCTGTATATTTTCAAACTGAAATAACATGTCCTGGTAAGAGGTTTAATGATAACTTAAGAAATCCCCGGTTCCATAGGAACAATGAAGGGAGGTTTGCTCCTCATTCAGCGAAGGGTGATGGGGTCCTTTCTGAAATGTTTGCGTCTAGCCTCACCCCACCACCATCACCTGTAATAGCAGGACAACAGCCCCCGATGATGTGCATCCCGCAATCCCCGGACCCTGTGAATATGTGACCTCACATGGCAAAATGGACTTCTTCGCAGATGTGATTGAGTAAAGGACCTGGAGATGGGGAGATTATCCTGCATTATTCCAGTGGGTCCAATATAATCACAAGGGTCCCCATAAGTGAAAGAGAGAGACAGGAAGGCCAGAGTCAGAGAAGGCAATGTGTGGGAGGGAGCAGAGTGACAGGACCGCTGGGAGGGGCCGCTAGAAGATCGTGGGCACCTCTAGAAGCTGGAAAAGGTAAGGATCAGATTCTCCCCCAAGACCCTGCAGAAGGAGCACAGCCCTTCGTTTTAGCCCAATGAGACCCATTTTGGACTTCAGACTTCCAGAACTACAAGATAATAAATGTGTGTTGTTTTAAGCCACTAGATTTGTGGTAATCCATTACAACAGTAAATAGGAAACTAATACATCCCCCCCACACACAAAATCCTCACCTCCTCCCCTGACTGTTTTCAGGGAATGAGCCTTTGTGACTTAACTAGAGATATGAATGGCCCTGTCAAGAAATATTGATAATGCTCTGGAACCATCCAGTGACAACTCTCCAAAGACATGAATTATCACTCTGCAATTCTATTACAACCTCTGATTTCACAGTAACAAATTGCATGCTCAGTTGATGAGTTAAACAGTTCTTTCATCTGGGTGGGCTCCGATGCACAAGATAAAAGGAAAGGGTATATCCACCCTCTCTTCTCAAAGAGGACAGAAGTAGGAGGGAAACCCTACAGAGCTGGGTGTAGGTTGGGCCACAGGAAAGCCCCTGAGGACTTCTGGAGATGGAAGGAATCTTTCCATTCACTTGGACTAGTGGAGACTGACTAGCTGGCCCAAGGCTGGGCCACACAGCGTGTGAATGAATGATACAGCAGAGACTCAGAGCCAGTCATCTTGATGGGGGACCTACTTCCCCTCTCTATCCCAGTGGTTATCAAACCTCCTGTTCTCTGGATTCCTGTCTACTCTTAAATTAATGAGGATCTCGCAGAGGTTATATTTATGTGGGTTTAATCTGTTGTGATCTACTGACCAGAAGTGTAAACTAAGCACACATTCCGCTGCAGGCATTAAATCATTTTAAAATAGCAGCAGTAAGCCATTTCATATTGGCATTAAAAAACCTGTATTTTATGAAAAATAACTGTTTTCCAAAACAAAAAGAAATAGAAGAGTGGCATTGTTTTACACTTCAGCACATCTCTTCAATGGGAGACAGCAGGATCTCTTCTCTGCTTACGCCTTCAGTCTATTACAATATGTTGTGGTTGAAGTGCCTGAAGAAAATCCAGCCTCACACAGGTCTGTGGCTGGAAAAGTATCTTAACCGCCTTATGAATCATTTTGGGAAATCTTTGATACTACACCAAAACTCATCAAGTAGCGGTTTCTTCAAGATTAGCCGTGATGTAGAATCTGAAACCATATGAGGAATTTTTCACATTTTGTTACGTGAAAAATCCACTGGGCTTTCTTGCACTTTGGCTAGATCGTTTAGCCAGGCAAGATTTGGTAACATTATGCACTGGTCACTGGGAATTCACTGGTTCACTTGGTTATGCAGGTCATCTAAATGCTGATATGTTTTTATACGACAATATTTAAGCCATTGCATTCATTTATCTCACCACCGATATTGTTAGAAAAGTTTTTAAGCATTGGGAAGCTTTCAAATGATGTTGGAGATAACTTGGCAAAATTTCTAATTTTCATTTGAAAGCTCAGACTTTATCACTGGCAAGACAGACTATCAGTTATTTTACTAGAAGTGACAGGCCCCCTTGTTCGTCTTGGAGAAGATGTCTGCCAAATACCCAAGTTTGTCTGTGGTCATTCTTTCTGGTAAATATGGTGTGCCATGAAGAAAGAAGCTAGTTCAGTTCACAACTCAAACTATCACACAAGAGGTTTCCTCAGGATTACCAGGATTTTCCTTAGGATTTTTCCTCAGGATTACCACTGAACTTGGGCAGCTCGCAGAAATACTGTATGTCCCTTTCCTGTTCCTTCACACAGAATATTAAAAAGACATGCCTTCCAGGGTAGAGACTTGGTAAAATTAATAATTTTTGCACCAGGACATTCTTAATTGAAACTGACATATCTTTTCTTCACTTCAATGACTACTAGTTCATTATGGCGCCAATGCTTCGATTCACCCAAAAGCACCAGCAGTTTCACCCACCAAGCTTTCCACCCTTGCTGCAAACAGCAACACGGTAAAAAAAGAAAAAAAAAAAAGGCAAACAGTATCTGGGCATTTCTTTGAAAATAGTTTTGACCTTGCAGAATCCCTGAAAGGATATTAAGTTCCAAAGAAAAAAATGATAGTCACCCATAACCACCCTAAGATAACTGCTAGAAATGTCTGCGAGTTTGTGTGTCCTCCCATGTTTAGAGATACGTATCCTATCAGACTGGCAAGTGCCACCATAATCTTAACGGTTGCCTAGCAGTTTACTGTAGGGAGGGATGATGGAGGTATCACTTGCTTATTTTGATTTATGTCTTAATGGACCACCAAGGTAAAGGGTTTATTTAGATCTTTAGTATGCCCTGCTTATCTCCTCTGTTTTAAGGAAAGTCCCCGTGCGCTGTGGTGGCCTGTCATTTAGAGTGGCTCTGGGTGCTTTCATTAGAGGGATTCTGGTCCCCAAAGTTTGGGAGCAGGGGAAGGTTTGACTCAAGCAGCTAGCTGGGCCCATGCATTGATTCAACCAGAGAAGGAGCCGTATGCCCATGGCCTTGCTGCCAGACCCAGAATCCAAGTCCGGAGCAGTGACTGTAGCTATGTAGGGCAGGACAGACGGGAAGCCTTCCAGAGGAGCAGATGAAATAAGTTATGTGCCCCATGATCTCTTTCACAGCACCGGGGAGCTATCTGCAGAATATAGCTGTTGCTTTCCTTCTATTAATTTCATTTAAATGCAGTAGATGTTCATTTCGAAACGTGCTGGTCCATTTCTAGTCTGATCGTCATTTTCCTGCAAATCCCACGTCAACACAGTCGAGAGAAGTGCCAGCAAGCATTCCAGCTCCCACATTCCACAGCTCAGTGGATTTACAGAGCAGAAGGCAAGAGAAGGAATAGCAAGGACCATGGCAGCGTTTCGGGAACTGCCACAAAGAGCCCTGACTCCAAGCACACGCAAATGTAACCCACTGGGCAGGTGGCAGGGGAATCCACCCGGAATGAAGCTGGAATCATCACGAAGCCAGTTTAGCATTACCTCCAGTTCCAGCCCATTTTCTGAAACAAAACCCCTTTCAACATTCACAAAATTTAATTTTGGGGGTGCGGGGGAAGCCATGGGTTGTAGGTGGGGAAGTTGAAAGGCTTTAAAATATGTTTTATTCTTGTTAACTACTACACCAAATATTCAGTGAATGATTTCCTAGAGATTGCTAACAGAGGAAAACAAAATCTCCCACTGGTACTGCCTTTTTTATGAAGAAGTGACTTCTGGCTTCCCACCATGTGGCATCAACCCGATGCAGATGTACCCACCAAAAAGAACTGCAAGGCACCGTGACTCCCCAACTGTCCCTCGTTTCCCCTTTCTAAGAGGGCAGTAGGGACACTAAATAGCATCATAACGCAAGTAGCCTTCCTTGGAATCACATCTGAATTTTTATAACCCAGCTGGGAGTGAATAGTATCCACAAAAATGTGGACTCTTGGACTCCTACAAACTGATGACATAAGTAAAAGCCACACCGTTTCAAGTGTGAAAATGCCTGCACAGGAGCTGGGACCGAGGGCTACCAAAGGCTTAGGGATGAAAACCCACCACAAACTTTAACTCTCTGCCGGAAACCTTCAAAAAAGTCTGACACCGAAAAGCGCTGCTCACATTTCAGCCCCGAAAGAAAGCATCCATCCCATCGCCAGCCCTCAGTCTCTTCCGGGAAGGGCGAGCTTCTCCCACTTTCCCGCTCCCTCCTCTCAAGACCAAGGTCTTCTCCCAGCTCCTAAGTTCCCACCGGGAGGTTCTGGCCTCCGTCCGAGCGCCGCTGATGCTTGGGCGCCGAGGTACCCGGCCGCCCCCGGGCGCAGCTTTCCCCCGGGCGCTTCTAGAAGAGTCTTCCCTCCCTGCCTCCCCGCTGGTCTCCCGAGTGCCACCCTCCAACAGGCATCCCTACCTCCGGGCAGGCGAACTGAAGGAAAGAGGGATGCCCACGGGGATATTCTGGGCAAAGGAAAACATCACCCCCACCTCCACCGCAACGCCAAAGGGTCGCTTTCCTTTTTTCTTTTTTGTTGTTTTGTTTTGCTTTGTTTTTCCTTTGCCTGAATCTCTCCGGGAAGTTAGACTGACTGCTCGAGTCTCCGGCCTCCGCGGCGTTCGACGGCAAAGTTGAAACCGAGGGCGCTGAGGTCCCCGGCACCAGTGGTGTCCCGCGCCCGCCTCCCGTGCGCAAGGCGCCGAGTGCCCAGGCCCCGCGTCCCCAGCCGCCCCTCGGCGCCCCGACCCGCGAGCGATGAGGACGCACAGGTTAGTGACACGACACGCACAGCACAGAGCGGGACGGCGGTCCCCGGAGCGACAGGCAGGGTGGATGGTGCATGGAAGGTGGACAGAGAAGCGGCGAGGAGGCGCGGAGAGCCGGGCAGCCGAGCCCGGGACTGCGCGTACCTGGAGCCCCCGCCGGGGACACGACGGGCAGCAGCGCGGCCAGGAGCAGCAACGCCGCCCAGGGCAGCGGGCACCGCGCGCGCGGGGCCGCCCGGGTCTCGGGCGCCATCGGGAGCCCGGGGTGCGCGGCGGGCTGGGCGGGCCGGCTGGCGGGTGGGCGCTGGGAGGGAATCGGGGAGCGCGGAGGCGCCGCCGTCGGGTCCCCGCCGTCCGTGTGGGTGTGCGCGCTCTGCGCCGTGCCCGCGGCGCCCTGGTCCCGCGCTGATCGCTCCGCCCGCGCACCGGCCGCCGCGCTGTGTACTGAGGCCTCGGGCCGCCCGCCGCGCCTTTTAGCCGCGAGCGCGCGCCCCCTGCCGGCGGCGGGGCGGCGGGGCGGCGGGGCGGCGGGGCGGGGGGCCCGGGCGGGAGGGGCAGCGGGTGCCGCGTCAGGACTCCGGGAGCTCGAGCGCCCCGGAGCCCCGCCTGGGGGTTCTGAAAATTCGGTGATTGCGATGCGGGTCGAAGGGGCCTGGGAAGTTCCTCCCATTGTCTAACCTCTCTCGTTTTCTGGCTCGGGAAATGGCTCATCGCTTCCAGTCGCTGCCAAGCCCAAGAGCGCCCTATGGTCCCCTAAGTAAATACCCCTGGTTTTAACGCTGGGGACTGGAGCCAGGTCCCTTCCCCTCTTTCTGCACGTTGCGGCCTTTCCTGCGGCTCACCCCGGCCTTCCCACACCCCGCGCGCCCAGGAGAGGGGGTGGGATGTCCTTAGACACCGCTGCTCCTCGCTGTCATTTCAGGGGAGCGCATCAACTCGTCGCAAAGGAATCGTCTTGAAGTACGGGAAGTCCCAGCCCGAGGACTTGACTGGCCTTGCTTCCTCCAGGACCGATGGTGTGAACCCTGCTCAGGGGCTCCCTGGACCGGACTCCCACCTGTGTGTGGCCGGCCCTCGCCCTCCGAAGCCTCGTGCCCCTCCAAGCGGGAGGGGAGCGCCCCTGGAGGCGACAAGGACACCTGCGCCAGGCAGGGCGCTGGGGCGCCAGTGCTGCCGGCTGCCGGCCGGTTTCCGCGCAACGCTGCTCGCGCTCAAGCTCGCAACCTAACACTGAGTCAGTTCTCCGTCGGGACACCCCAAAACTTGACCAGATTTGTGTCATTCCGCAGAGAGGAAACGATTATTGAATGAATTGTAGACCGATGAAAAAGAGAAACACAGTAGGTCTTTTCTGAAACGAAGCACCAACACATCCTTGCCCTTGAACCCTGGCTGGTGCCTCTTGCCCAGTGATCGGCTATGAACCCGTAATTCCTTCAGCCCTCCTTTCGGGAAAGCTTTCTCCTGGTTCCCAATGACGGTTTGTTTTTCATTCATCCGGAGAGTCCTTTGTACTCCCAGAGCTCTTGTAGCTTGCCAGCATTTTAATGTTGAAATAATGCACTTTCTTACATTGCTCCCTAGTATTGTGATGTTTCCTCCATAAGCCATGTAATGCGGCTGTGGTTTTTGTCAGCCCAGCAGCCCGCCACCTCCGGCTCTTCTTTTGGGAATAGTAGCCCTTTCCCCCACTCCAACCAAGTGGCCCCAGTGGGAACTGTCCCTTCCACGCCACTCTGTTCTCCACTCCAGTTGGTCCAAGGATCCCTAGTGACCCAAGCAGGGTCAGAGTCCTAGCTGGTGGGAAAGTCTTCTTTCTCCAGTCATTCACAGATGTTGAAGGATGGCATCTATGGTAGGCTGAAATATGGCCTTCGAAAGATATCCATGCCCTAATCCCTGGAATCCATGAATGTTACCTTATGGTTGCATATATGATTAAATTAAGCATTTTGAGATGGAGGGATTATCCTGGATTATCTGGTGGGCCCTAAATGCCATCACATGCATCCTTACAAGAAGGAGAAGGGGATTTGACATAACAGAGAAGACAATGTGCCCACAGAGGCAGAGATAGGAGCGATGCAGCCATGAGCCAAGGTAGGAGGCAGCCACCAGAAGCTGGAAGAAGCAAAGAACAGCTCTGGGCACCTTGACCCCAGTGGAACTTATGTCAGGCTTCTGGCCTCCAGAGCTGTGCGAGGATACATTTCAGTGGTTTTAAGCCCACAGACCAGTAGTTGCTACAGCAGCCACGGGAAACTGACACAGTAGCCAGGAGGTGCCTGTGTCTCTGGCTTCAGCCTTGAGGGGCATCATCCAGAGAGAATGAAGCCAACACACGAACAACGGAACAGGGAGATAGAGTCTGCAGGTGTGCAAGTCCTGGGCTCGAGCTCCGGCCCTGCACTTCCTAAGCTCCAGGAGACAAAAATTCCCTTTTGCCAAATTGGAATGGGATTTCCATCCCATGTAACCACTGAGTCCTGACCACCGTATTCCTTCCTTCCTTGTGAAATGCATGTGCATAGCACCTGCCTCCCCAGCATGTTGCTTATTAGAGCAGCTTTCTTCTGTGGCCATTTCAGAGTGAAGAACAATGCAAAATTGCCTCCAACTAGATCAGAACAATCAGCCAGGGACTATGAGATATAAATGAAATGGCTAACATTTCTGAGTCCAGATTCTGATTTGATTACAAATTTGAGAGTGTGTTTCATTTTTAAAGTCCCAAAAGGAAACTTCAAACTTGAGGATTAGAAGACTTCAAAAAAAAAAAAAAAAAAAACAAGAAACAAACAAAAAACAAAAAATGGGGGAAAAAAGACCTCAAAGGAATCTGACCTAAGAATCATAGTCTTCTATCCTCGATGTGACCATTTCAAAAATACAAGCTCTCCAAAGTTTTCTTCCCCTCTATTTTACTATTGTCCTGATAGATGTTTCTGGTAAAATAAAATAATGCTTTACCAAACATGTCTTGAGCAGTATCTCTTTTGTTCTGATTCACACAACAATCTTAGAGGCACTACTCTAAGCGAGAAAACCAAGGCTCTGAGTGTTTATGTGACTTGTGTACCCACACTAGTGACAGGTGAGGGTGACAGTCTCCCCCATCTGACTCCAGGTGCGCGTCTTTTCCACAATACCACAACACCTCCGGATGTCTCCTATTCGATTTTCGGCAAAAGCATCAGGATCCAAGCAGAGAGTACAAATAAAAGTATATTTTGCATGCCCCGTGTCCAGTACAGATGGATTGGAGACACCTCTTTATCATCCGAATGGTGAGCAATCCTTGTTAGCAGACAATTACACAAGACCTCAGCGTTACATCACCCACCTTCTCAGGGTTTGGAAGATGCAGGAGAGAAGTGCTGGTTACATATGCGTAAATCCATCGTTGCCCGAAACATGCTTCCTCTGTGAAGAAGTTCTGACTAGTTTCCACAGCAGAGCGGTGCCAAGGTGAATTCTCTTCTGTGCAAATATACTGCAAATTAGTGGAACGTAAAGGATTAAGATGTCAGATACCCAACCTAGCCTAAGAATCATCGAAGATTCTAATTGCAAATGTTTTGATTGCCATGATAGGAAAGCCCACAGACCTTACTCAAAGTTTCTGTCTGGTGGCCCCAGGCTGTTAGACAAACACACTGCAAATAGAAGCAGCTAGATATCCCAGTTTATCACCTGCCACTTGTTAATGGGCACAGGACTTGGGCTAGATCAAGAGAAATCATTTATTAATCTATTCCTTTATATAACCTTTGTTGAACAGCTGTTTCTGTGTCAAGTAATGTGTTAGAATCTGGGGATAAAATGTGACTGAGACTCAGGCAGCCCCTTGCCTCAAAGAGCTTTCAAAGACAGAAACACAAAAACGTACAATCCAGAGCACTGTGCTATTTCGGCCATGAAGCTTCCAGACTTCGTTCTAAATGCTGCCTATCCCTTCTCTTACTTTATTCTCTTTTTTCCCCAAGGAGGGCTTTAACCCTGCATGTAATTTCCATAGGCAGACCTCACTCAGGGTGCACTCACTCTAATCCTGCAGAATTAAGAAGTCTAGTTTGGGGAGAAGGCATTAGTAAACCAGGGTGGAATATAAACTCAAAATGTCCAGTCTTCGAGTCACAGTAGGCAGTTTGAGAAGTTGGCTGAGGCATTATGCTAGCAAAACACAAGTCTGGCCGCCATCCAGCCTGCCCTGGCCCAGCCCCGCCTCCTGTCGAGAGCAGAACCGTGGGGACTACAAAGCTGTCAAGCATGGAGCATGTCACACCAGCCACACACACCTCAGATCCCATGCGGTTAGGCAGGTACTCATGCTCAAAATGGGGAAACTAATTATTTCTTCAGTAAGCCTTTAATGAGCTCCTACTGCATACCTGGCCTATATTCAGGGGCACAGACCTGTGGTCACCTCTGAAATGGCATGGGCCAGCTGACAGCGGCTTTGCCATCAGCAAAGTGGGCTACCCCCGGGCAAGCCACAGAAAGGCCCAGCATAATCCTGGTGCCCAGCAAGACCCTTCTCTACCCAGGAATACATACCTGGTAGTATCATGCTACCCGGCATGACCAGTCCTGGAGAAGGTGATAAAGAAGAGAGATCGTCAGCAGTGACCCACAGCCCCTTTCCTCCTGGGTGGCACCCCCTCTCATACCGCTTACCCCAGCCCACAGCACCCATGGGCACTCTATCAATCCCTCCCACCACCAAATCTGCCTTCAAGGATGTTCTTATACCTCCTTCTAGCTAAAATGTGAGTGACTGATACGGCTTTTCAGGTACTCTTAACTGTAAGTATGTGGTGCTTTCCAACTCACAAAGCAGGATCTCGTTCACCTTCATGAACCATGAAGGAGGAAAACACACTATTATGCCCATTTTACAGAGGTACAAACAGGTTATGTGTCCAGTCCATGTGAATACAGTTATTAAGTGTCAGACCAGGAGGCAAATTGTGACATTCCCTTTGCAAACTCAGCCCTCTTTGCATTACAGGCCAATCCCTTAACGCTTCTGTGAATTACCAGCAACAAAATATCAGCAGGGGGAGGTGCATTTAATACTAGAGCCTCTTTTATTTACACTTTAGAAAAGGCACCACTTTTTTGCATCAGCTTCATAACCAATTCTTTCAGGCCACATTGGAGAAGCAAACTAAGCCCATTTTTCTTAAATCCTTCAGAATCTGCACCAGTGTCACCCAAGAAGAAACTTTCTATGATTTTGTAACATTCAAATCCGTGTGCTTTTCTAACATAATTCATGAACTATACTTGGTAATTACTTATATGATGCTCTTGAAAAGAAAAGGTGTAGTTGAGCTATTTCGTGAGTTACCTCCATTCCTGGAAGGGTCCTTAGTCCTCTGCTCCTGCTTAAGCCAAAGTCCCATGACTGCCCAGCTGCATCATCC